GGAAGAGTTAGACTGGGCATGGGGACGGTGGCACAGCCACGTCAAATAGCAACATGGGCCATTGTGGAATGAATGAATGATTGAATGACTGTGAACTCTGGGAAATAGCTGGCAACCTGAGGGAGGGAGGCTTTCTCTCTATTCCCCACAACCAAAGAGCCACCCAAACCAGATAGTTCTCTCTAGGCCCCTCCTAAGCCTGGAGGTGTTGCCATCCTTCACAGACACAGGCCCGTGGCTGGGCCAGAACCCTTGGTAGCAGCCTCTTCCTCAGAACTGGGTTTGCTCCTCCACACACGAGGGTCATGAGACCCCTGAGAGCTTGCTGTGAACACCCCAGACGCTGAGGACGGCCTGGCTTGGGCCTTCCCAGCTTCCCTGTTGTTGACCTGGATTTTCCTCCCAAGGGCTGCGACCAAGGCAGAGACCCTATTCTAAGCTTGGCACCCCGGGAAGAAAGTGCTAACCCAGCAGCCTGAGGAGAGCCAGACCTTCACATCAGACCTTCCCCAGAGCCAGGACCAGGCCTGGACACTCAAACCAGGGGCCCATAATACCCTCTGGAGCCAGCAGGTTGCAACAGTATCTCCAAAAGCCATAGCTACCCATCAACTCCAGGCTTAGGAGGGGCCTCAAGAGAACTGTCTGGTTTGGGTGGCTCTTTGGTCCTGGGGGATAGAGAGAAAGCCCAAGAGTGGGCTCAACCCCCTCCCTCGGATTGCCAGCTATTTCCCAGAGTTCACATTCAGTCACTCAATCATTCATTCCACAAATTATTTACTTGGTGCCAAACCCTGCTCTGGTGCAGGGGCAATGACAGAGATGAATCAGATTCCCCTGAAGATAACTCTGCTCCAGAAGGAGACAAACAAGACAAATAACCCAGCCACAAGGCAGTCCAGGAGCACAGGGGAGGGGGCAAGTATCAGGGAAGCTGCCTGGAAGGGCGGTTTGAGAGGGGTGACTTGGACATGTAATGGAAAGGCCACGGTGGAGGGTGGAAGCAAAATCACTGACGGATAGTCCTGTTTGCACCCCAGCTATGCCAGGGGCTGGGGCAATGTGGGTTATTTATGGTTGAGCCTAGAAAAAAGCGGCCATATATGTCACTACCTATGTGGTGCAGAGCTGGGCTGTTGTGGGCAGGGGCAGCTGAGGCTTGAAGCTGGGTCTGGCCAAGCTCCCGGGTTTGCCACCATGTCCCCTACACCCTGATGACCCTTTAACCTTTTCATAGCCTCTTGTAAGGTGAAAATAAGGGGCAGAGACAGCTTCAACAGGCAGCAAGTGGCCTGGGGCTTGCAGGGGTGGGCAGTGCCCAGCAGCCCGTGGCTTCTGTAACTGCGGGCCTTTTAGCATCATCACCTCCTTCTTGCCTCCTCCCCCTCCCATCCCAGCTGTGGGGGAAGGGGTAGGGGGCAGAAGGAAATACCTTTAACCATAAGCCAGACAGGCATCAGCTGCTGTGTTTCTCCCCAGCCCACTCTGATCCATAAATAGCCTACGCACCAAGCTGGCATCAGCCCACCCACCCCTTCTGGTAGCAGTCCAGAGACCCGGACCGCCCGAGCCCAGGCCCCAGCTTCCCCAGGAACCTATTTCCGCCGCTTTTCCTGGGGTAAAGGCCTCCGTTGCCGGCTCGTCCCCCCACAATGGACACAGCGCAGGGGCATCCTAGCACTGCCTGGGTGATGCCCCCGAACTCCGGTCCCAGCAAAGCATCCCCGGGCGCGCACGCACTTCTCTCCAGACAGCAGCCCAACCCGCCCCGGGCTCTGGCCCAGGGAGATGCCAGTCTCGGCGCCCACTTCGAACACGCACTCCCTAACTCTACGCCCCCCACATAACCCCCCACCTTCTATTCAAGGGCCAGACCCCCTACCTGGGGGCAGGAGCGCGGGGCACCATTGGCGGCGCCTCGGGGCGAAGCGGGACGTCTGGGGCCCGGCCTCAAGCCCGGCCGACTTCCCGGGGGAGGAGGGGCTGGCGCTGCCACCGCCACCGCGTCTCTCTGGGATCTCGCCTGGGCTGCGGGAAGGAGGAAGGTCAGAGCCGAGGCGGAGCGGGGGGGAAGGATGAGGAGGAGGCGTGCACAGAGCCGCGCAGATTAGAGAGGCATTTTTAGCTAGCCAATGGCAGCGCGGGCAGGGCGGCGCGGTGGCTGCGCAGGTGGACGCGCCGCGGCTGCCGGGGAGGCAGCCACCAGTTTGGCAGGCGCCGGGGGTGGCGGGTGGGGTCCGGCTCCCCCCTGCTTCAGCCGCCCCCTGCCCCAGCCGTCCTGCCCGATTCCCTCCTCCGGGGGCTGCCCGCGGGCCCGCGCGGGCCAGGAGCCCTCCGGTGCACCCTCCTTCCCAGCCCTCCCAGCTGGCGCGCTCGGAGCCCGGGGTGTTGCTCCCCGCCTGTCTCCCCATCTCCCCACCGCCTTGGCCTTTTCTCTGCTCCGGAGCCTCGGCGACCCCTGGTGCGTGAGGGTGCCTGTGTGATGGGCATGTTGAAGAGGTGCGTGGGAGCCTGCACCACCGCCCCAGCGATGCCCACTCCCGCCCGCAGCCTCTGCCCGGTGACCCCATGGGGCAGAGTCACTAACCCTCAGGTCCTAGTTCCAGCAGGACCGGCTGTCGCCAAAACAAACTCAAAGCTCCCGTCCCCTTGGGGTTCTCTGGGGCAGTTGGGGCCTAACAAGTCCTCAACGGCCTTCACTCTTCCCGACTTGAGTCCTGAATGCTGCCTGGAGCCCGGAAGCTGCAGGGAGTAGCGGGGCACATGCCTACTGAAGGCCTGTTCTGTGCCAGCCACTGATGAGGGGCTGGGCTGCAGAAGGGGACAAAGCAAAACTCTGCCGTCTCGTAGTTCACCTGTGCGAGGGAAGACAGACATTCAGTGTCGGTAGCTAAGAGTGTTTTAAAGTGGTATGCACAGAGAAGAAAAATAAAGCTGGAGGAAGGGAAAGGAAGTGAGATTGCTCAGCACCAGAATGGGTCCCTGCCCTTTATGTGTGTCGGGACTGGAGGGTGGGGGCGGTGATTTATTTGACTGTGAGCCCCTCAGATAGCCATGCAGACTCCAGTTTGCTGCAGACCTCACTACTCCCTATTGCTCGAGCCTGGAATAACCACGTTTATAGTTCCTGACTTCTCTCTCCACACACTTCATCAGAGGCACTGAAATTCATGCCCCTGTGACCCCGTGGAATGCCTGAATGCTGTATTTACTCATGCATTAAGAATTCTCTGGGGCCGGGCATGGTGGCTCACGCCTGTAATCCCAGCACTTTGGGAGGCCGAGGCGGGTGGATCACGAGGTCAAGAGATCGAGACCATCCTGGTCAACGTGGTGAAACCCCATCTCTATTAAAAATACGAAAAATTAGCTGGGCATGATGGCGCGTGCCTGTAATCCCAGGTACTCAGGAGGCTGAGGCAGGAGAATTGCCTGAACCCAGGAGGCGGAGGTTGCGGTGAGCCGAGATCGCGCCATTCCACTCCAGCCTGGGTAACAAGAGTGAAACTCCATCTCAAAAAAAAAAAGAGTTCTCTGAGCACCTGCATGTTAGGTGTTGGAGCCTTGGGGAACTCAACACCTAGCTGTGGAGGCCAGATGGTAGTATGTACCTCAAGCCTGAATAGGACCGCCAAGTGAGTGAACAATATTCTAGAGGAGGTCAGAACACTCTGGTTCAGGGCCATCCGGGAAGGCTTCCTGGAGGAGGCAGCATTCCAACAGGGTGCCAAAGGTTAACTGGGCTTCTAATAAGCCAGACAGGGCAGGAGGCAGGGATGGATTGCTAGGAAAGACCAGCAAAGCCAGGGGACGTTTGGCAGGTGGCTAGGGCTGAGTCGTGGAGCACTGCTGGATACCATCTGAGCAAGGGGTATGCTCTTTGTCTCGGGCTGGTGAAGCCCCACTCCCCACTCCCATTCCAGCAGTTCCTGGTTCTAGCTGCCCTCACCCCAACCTAGAATTTCCCAGTACCCCAGAAGGAGGTGTGATGAGCATGTAGGGCAGAGGCGAGGGGACATCAACTTCACTCCGTTGCTTGCTTGCCGGGTGAACATGGACAAGTAATTCAACCCCTTGAGATTAAGCCTTTTCATCTTAATAGCTATGTGGCAAGTTGCTTAATTGATCTGTTCCTTGGTTTCTGGGCTTGGAAAATGGGCATGGCAACAGCGCCTACCACACAAGAGAATCTAGGTGAACTGCTTAGCACATAAGTACTCAGTTATTTTTGTTGTATTTATGATGATGATGATGTTAATTCCACTTGCCTCATAGGGTTATTGGAATTAGACAAAGAACATAACTCACCTAGCATAGTGCCTGGTACCTAGTAGGTGTGCCACAACGATGGTATTATTATTACCATCAACTACATGCACCCCAAAATTTCTCCCTTTCTGGTCTACCACAGTGCTATGAAATACACATCTTTAGACAGAATGTTTTTTTCAGCCAGGGTCTTGCTGTTTCACCCAGGCTGGAATAAAGTGTCGCAATCACAGCTCACTGCAGCCTCAACCTCCTGGGCTCAAGCAATTCTCTTCCACCCACCTCAGTTTCCCTAGTAGCTGGGACTACAGGTGTATGCCACCAAGCCTGGCTGATTTTTAAAAATTATTTGTAGAGACAGGGTCTCCCTATGTTGCCCAAGCTGGTCTTGAACTCCTGGGCTCACACCAGCCTCCCACCTCAGCCTCCCAAAGTGCTGGGGTTTCAGGCATGAGCGATCATGCTTGGCCTACCAGGAATTTCTTTCTTTCTTTTTTTTGAGACAGAGTTTCGCTGTTGTTACCCAGGCTGGAGTGCAATGGCACTATCTCGGCTCACCGCAACCTCCGCCTCCTGGGTTCAGGCAATTCTCCTGCCTCAGCCTCCTGAGTAGCTGGGACTACAGGCACACGCCACCATGCCCAGCTAATTTTTTGTATTCATAATAGAGACGGGGTTTCACCACGTTGACCAGGATGGTCTCCATCTCTTGACCTCGTGATCCACCCACCTCAGCCTCCCAAAGTGCTGGGATTACAGGCTTGAGCCACTGCGCCTGCCCTACCAGGACTTTCTTAATGTAGAGAAGCTAATTCCCCAAGAGGCTCTTAAAGGACAATCTAGGATGGATAGACTAACAATCAGCCCCTCCCCTTCTAATACATTAGCCTGGCTCAATGTGTCATCAGGAGCTTTGATGTAGATGGCATGGAGCCCAGGCCTGGAAGGTTTTGAAAAGGCAGTGAAGTCCAGAGCACAGGACGCTGACTGAGAGAGGACACTCAATGTCCCTCGGCAGCAGCATTCGGTGGAGAATGGCAAGAGCAGGAAGAGGACATTCACAGGGGACAGGTACAATGCAGAGGGCACAGGGAGGACTCTGCCTTCACAGGGGTGGAGACACTTGGGGACAGTGTGGAAGGGCAGTGGCTAAGCAGACCTGATTGGGCAGAGATAGGGGGAGGGAGGGAGGTGGGTGGGGAGCGGGGTGAGGGAGAAGACAGAAGACTGAGCTTATGAGGCTGGGCTTACGAGGCTTCCCTGAAGCTGAATTCAGACCTTAGCAGCCCCAAGCCATGAAAAAACAAAGGGGAACACACACACACACACACACACACACACACCCCTGTCCTGTGTAATCTAAAATAAACTGTTATTTTAGGAATTGACACAACTTCCATGCTTCCTAAAATTAAACTAGTTTTCTTCTAGATTTTCTGCCTGCAAAAGTTATATGCATCAAAGATAAACTTTTTCTCTCCCTCTCTCTCCTCTCTAATTGTTTTGCGCCGCTACTCAGAGAATAAGACTTTCTCCCTTTTGCACAGCACTTTTCACTCTTCAAAATGCGTTTCACGTCCTTTGTCTTCTCAACACACCTTTTTTTTTCTTTCTTTTTTCCACGACAAAGTCTTGCTCTGTTGCCCAGGCTGGAGTGCAGTGGCACAATCTCAGCTAACGGCAATGTCCACTGCCTCAGCCTCTGGAGTAGCTGGGATTCCAGACACGTGCCTCCACGGTCGACTAATTTTTGTATTTTTAGTAGAAACAGGGTTTCACCATGTTGGCCAGAGTAGTCTTGAACTCCTGACCTCATGATCCACCCACCCTGGCCTCCCAAAGTGCTGGGATTACAGGCGTGAGCCACCGCACCCAGCCTCAGTGCACTTTTCTCAGTCCCATTAAGATCTGACCAGCCTCAGTTTCCATGGGACCTTCGTTTCCACCGAGAGCTTTGAGCCCTCCCTCCATCAGAAGCCTCCTCCGTTAGGCGGTCTGTACCATAGAGGGCAACGAGGCAGGCACAGACTTCCCAGAGGAGTTTTCACATGCAGACATAACATGTGGAAAGAACAGAACAGCACTGGACAAGCCTGTGAAATCAATCGATCAATAAATGAATAATGGATGTTAATTAATATTGCATATTTAGCATAGGAAAGCAGGAGGGTGGTGGAGATGCCATGGGTTCCCTTTTGTTCCATCCAAAATGAAAGGTTTCAGGGATAAGGTGGGGTTTTGAAGAGTTTCTCTATTCTTACCACATCTCTGCTTAAAAAGAAAAGACACTGATTTTTTTTCCCCAAATTTTGGCAGAGCAGGACTCTGAAGCCCAGAGAGGGAAAGTGATTCATTCAAGGTCACAAAGCACATCTGTGACAGAGCTGTGGCTAAAAACAGATCTCCTGACTTCTGGTCAGGTGCTATCTTTACCACATGATTACTCCCCCACAAACCTGCATAGAAGTGGGCAGGTCAGAATGTGGAAAGCAATTGGCCCAGTCGCCCAGTGGGGTGTTTTATATTCTGAGCTGCCTTTCAGCAGCACACAGGGATGTGAGCAGGACACCCCTGAGGCACAAAAGTTCTTTAAAAACAGTCTCCCAGCTCCTTCTGCCCTCGCCTTATCCTCCCACCAGCTGGCTTCACACTTGCAAATTGAGTGCCATAACCTGCCTGGTGGATGGAGGCTGTTGCCAGCTGTGTCCTGATTCCTGAGACCAGGATGCCAGGAGCCTCAGATCTGTGGCTTCCTCAGTCCATGACTCATGCCCAGGGGCTTAAAAACTCCCTGAAGACATCTCACCTTCGCAAGGCCCTCGGTCTTGGGAGGCACCCAGAGTTAAGACACAGATCCGGCCTACTCACCCAGGACATGCAGACACTGTGGCAAACACAGCCCTTTTCCTGGAGCAGACACTTTCTAGTTGTTTATTTTATTGTATTATCATTATTTTGTTGAGATGGAGTTTTGCTCTGTTGTCCAGGCTATAGTGCAATGGCACCATCTCAGCTCACGGCGTCCTCCGCCCAGGTTCAAGTGATTCCCCTGCTTCAGCCTCCTGAGTAGCTGGGACTTCAGGCGTGCATCACCACGCCTGGCTAATTTTTTTGTATTTTAGTAGAGACGGGGTTTCACCATGTTGGCCATGATGATCTTGATCTCCTGACCTAGTGATCCACCTGCCTTGGCCTCCCAAAGTGCTGGGAATCCAGGCGTGAGCCACTGTGCCCAGCAGAGCAGGCACTTTCTAAGCTTTACACATAGAAACTACAGGGATGAGTCTGATTACAGCCCCCATTTCACAGACAGGAAAATGGAGGCCCACAGAGGTTAGGTAACTTGCCTGAGGTCACAAAACTGGTGAGTGGTGGAGCTGGGACTCAAACCCAGGCAGTCTGGTTCCAAGAGCTGTGCTCCTAACCATACAGCTAGGAAAGAAGCAAACACTTGCTAAGCACGTTACTATGCACAGGAGGCGTTTGCAAACTTGCCCCCGTGTAGGTACGCTTACCCTCATTTTACAACTGAGGAAACTGAGGCTCGGTGGGTCCATCGGGGGTGCCTCTCTCCAAGTATAAAAAGAGAGGACACTTGAGATTGTCCTTGGGGTACCCAACTCTGGAACAAGCCCCAATGGCCCAGATACCATCGCCACCTAGTGGCCTTGTACCTTAAACGCAAGCAGAATACCTAACCGAAGGCTGGCCGTCAGGTTCCACACCTGACAGATTTTGTAATTTTTGGTTGCTTGTTTAGGATGCCAGGTCAATTTAACTTTTTCTTTTTCCTTTTCTTTTCTTGTTTTCTTTTCCTTTCTTTTTGGAAACAAGGTTCTGCTCTGTCTCTTAGGCTTGAGTGCAGTGGCATAATCATGGCTCGCTGCAACCTCCACCTCCCAGGCTCAAGGGATCCTCCACCTCATCCTCCCAGTAGCTGGAATTACAGGAGTGCACCAACACGCCCAAAAATACAATAATTTTTGTATTTTTAGTAGAGACGGGGTTTCACCATATTGGCCAAGCCACTCTCAAACTCCTGGCCTCAAGCTATCCACCTGCCTCAGCCTCCCAAAGTGCTGGGATTACAAGTGTGAGCCACTGTGTCCAGTCAAAAATGTCTTGGGCAGAATTCATCATTAGTAATGTCATCCTCAAAATGAATGGTGGGGGGCAGGAGAGAATCTGTACAAAGTATTGATTTTTCAGTTTTCCAAGAGCCTCCACATGCATTGTTTCATTTGATTCTTACCAAATATTACTTTGACTCCTACATTTTTTTAATGAGAAAATGACTCATCCAATAGGCATCCATTGAGCTGGTCTTTGAACCCAAGCCTGATGGCCAGAACCTGTATCCTGTAACTGGAGAGGCCCCAGTGAGTCAAGCTCCCGTGTCCCAGGCCCAGAAAGGCTGGGTGAGTTGGTCAGGGGTCCCAGTGAGTCCGTGGCACGCTTAGGCTTCAAGCCCTGGTCTCCAGAATTTTAGGGCTGAGTTTCTCTTCAATCCTGGGCTGTGCTTCAGCTTCTACTTCCTCCAAAGCAAATGCACCCAAGAAGAAAACAGGAGTTAAACAGAAGCACTGCCATCAGGTTGCTGAGCTGAGCAAACAAAACCCGAATATGACACACTGGCAAGTTAAGTACTTTGAACTAAGGGAAAGGCCTCCAAAGTAGCCTCAGAAACAAAGTCTCTCGCCCTCTTCTGTCTCCTGCCCCTCTTTCTCCCCTGAGGGGAGTCGTAGAAACCAGAATTTATCTTCTCCAAGGTGAGACATAGAAACTAGATCGTCTCTCTCCCAAAGCAAGCCGTAAAACCTAAAAGGTCACCCTGTCCCTTCTCTCCTGAAGACCCTCATTCTGGAAGGGTCCTGCCTCAGACCATGGAAGGAAGGAATGCTGCACAGAGAGACCAAGACGAATCTGAACAGAAGGCCTTGCCGGGCCTTGCTGCTGTTACAGAATCTTCGGGGTGTCGATTTTCTGGCCAGACATGGTACATTTGCCCAAGTTCTCATCCTGCAGTACACAGACAAGTGAAGGGCAAAGAAGACAAAGATGAGCTTTATTGAGTGTTACAACAACTTAGAAGAGACCGCGGTGGGTAGCTCCTCTCTGTAGGCAGAGCATCCTTCAGTCAAGTGTTCAGTGCTCAGCAGAGAGGAGGCCCTGGAGAGGGTAGTTCCTCTCTGTAGCTGGTTGTGTCCCATTGTCTCTCTGCCCTCTTTGTTCTCTGGCCATCCTCTGCCCTGCTCTGGCTGAGCCCAGGGCTTCTATGGACCTTAGAGAGAACCTGCTGATTGGTACAAGAGTGGCCATGGGTGGGCCAGAAGAGGCACCATGAGTCCCCACTCCAGTTTGTTGGGACTGGCAGCTGGGAGGGGCAGCCCAGCCCTCAGCTTTCAGGCCCGCCCTCTCTAGCCTGAAGTTGGGGCCTTAAATGGGGACCTGCCCCCATCTACCCAGGCCTCCCACTGCCATTCATGGCCCTAGGGCTCAGCTCCAACCCTGCTCTGAGATCAGAGCAGGTGCTGGGAGAGGAGAGAGGCCAGGAGGTGGAAGCAGCAGACACCCCGAGCCTGCAGAGATGGGATGAAGTGTCGGAGGGAGGATTCCTGGGACCCTGGAGAGTGCAGGCTGCAGAGACTCCCAGGTCCTGCACCTGGAAGGGCAGCAGCTGCAGCTGCACCCCAGAACTCCCACCCCAGCAACTCAGAAGGGGCGGGGCTCCTGCTTATCCCCAGTTCCTGCCAATTCCGTGGAGCAGGAGGCCCAGATCTGCAGCTGCTGGTCAGGGGGTTGCAGCGGCACCTAGGAGGGCAGATCTTGCCTGCTCCTGGCCGGCTCCAACAGCACAGAGAACCTGGGCCACAGCTGCAGTTTGGATAGCTGTGGCCCCACCCAGGAGGGCAAGGCTCCTGCCTGCTCCACAGAGCAGGAGGCCAGGGTCTGCAGGCACGGTTTGGGCAGCTGCAGCGGCACCCAGGGAGCTCCTGCCCCGACTCAGAAGGGGTGGGGTGCCCACCAGCTCCATGGAGTATGCAGCCCCAGCCATGCCTCCCTGCTGTAGCCAGTGGGATGCCAGCAGCCACTGCCATCACCAGTCTTCCCCTCTCAGTCTGTTACCGCCAGACCATGCCCTTTTGTCCAATCCCATTTCCACACGGCTGTCTATCCTTCAATCCAAGTGTAAAAATAGACCATTTTTCAGGAGTCATTGGCCTTCCATTTCTGAAGGCTTTGTCTTTTCATGTGACAAAGTTTCATGTCACATAAAATTTTGATTAAATAAATGTGGTATGCTTTTGTCTTGTTAACTGTCTTTTGTTACAGGAGTGTTGGCATGCTCCCTATGATGGGTGAGGAAAGAAATCACACCTGTCTGCTCCTACAAAGCTCACAGTGCAAAGCACCCTTTCCAGCCCACAACCTCTCTGCTGTTTTTCAGTTTGGGAGCACAAGGTGTTCCTTCCAGCTGGGCCTCCTTCATCATGCAGGCAAGCCTTAGGCCAAGGAGGAGAAAACCTGGCAGATCAGCCTGCTCACACCCTGGCCCTCCTGCCTTCTGTCCCTTTTTCATGCTGCGCCTCTTCCCAAAGCCAGGAGGGCCCAGCCCAGATGAGATGGAATACATCACAAAGTTTAGAGCCAGGGACTGCATCTGATCCTGGTTCTGCCACTAACTCACCAGGTGACCCGGGATGGGACACCACCTCTCAGCCTTGGTTTCCTCTCCAACACAGTGAAGATGGATCACAGCATGGTGTGTTGGAGCTGAAGCCTGAAAACTATCTAGGGCCAGGCTCGGTGGCTCATGCCTGTATCCCAGCACTTTGGGAAGCCAAAGTGGGCAGACTACCTGAGGTCAGGAGTTCAAGACCAGCCTGCCAACATGGTGAAACCCTGTCTTTACTAAAAACACAAAAATTAGCAGGGCATGGTGACACATATCTTTAATTAAGCCCAGCTACCCAGGAAGCTGAGGCAGGAGAATCACTTGAACCCAGGAGGCAGAGGTTGCAGTGAGCCAAAATCACACCATTGCCCTCCAGCCTGGGCAGCAAGAGCGAAACCCGTCTCAAAAATAAATAAAATAAAAATAAAAATAACTAATTTTGGGCTGAATGCAGTGGCTCACACCTGTAATCCCAGCACTTTGGAGGCCAATTGGGCAGATCACCTGAGGTCAGGAGTTTGAGACCAGGCTGGTCAACATGGTGAGACCCCTTTTCTACTAAAAATAAAAAATCAGCCTGTGTGGTGGCACATGCCTGTAATCTCAGCTACTTGGGGGGCTGAAGCAGAAGAATTGCTTGAACCCAGGAGGCGGAGGTTGCCGTGAGCCAAGATTACGCCGCTGCACTCTAGCCTGGGCAACAGAGCAAGACATTGACTCCAAAAAAAAAAAAAAAAACCAAAAAAGAGGAGAGTCTGTCCTCCACCCATTTCAAGTAGGATGCTGTGACTACTTTGACCAACAGAAGACAGCAGACTTGATGTTGCACTAGTTCCCGGCCTAGCCCTCACCCAGTCGGCAGTTTCTGCTTCCTGCCTCATGCGGATACTCCTTGCAGCAGCCCTCTGACAGCCAGCACCAGCCAGCAGCTGTGACAGAGAGAGAGCTGCCCTAGACTTCCAGCCCCATCAGGCCTGCAGAGACTCCAGCCCCAGCAGCAATCTAACTGCAAAAACACCAGAAACTCCACTCAGCTGAGCTGGGTCAACCCACAAAATTAGGAGAGTCACTCATACATTGCTGTTTGACGCCACTAAACTTTGGGGTGGTTTGTTATGCAACAAGGAACAGCCCAAATGGAGGCTTTAAAGTGACTTACTGGGTATGGTGGCTTGCACATGTAATCTCAGCTACTCAGGAGGCCAAGGTGGGAGAATCACTTGAGCCCAGGAGCTCAAGACCAGCCTGGGGTAACATAATAAGAACTCATCTGTTATTTTCTTTTTTGAGAGGGAATCTCGCTCTGTTATCCAAGCTGGAATGCAATGGTGAAATTTCAGCAACCTCCGCCTCCCAGGTTCAAGGGATTCTTCTGCCTCAGCCTCCCGAGTAGCTGGGACTACAAGTGTGTGCCACCACACATGGCTAATTTTTTTTTTTTTTTTTTTTAGATGGAGTCTCACTCTGTGGCCCAGGCTGGAGTGCAGTGGCATGATCTCGACTCACCCCAACCTCTGCCTCCTGGGTTCAAGCAATTCTCCTGCCTCAGCCTCCTGAGTAGCTGAGATTACAGGCACCTGCCACTATGCCCACCTAATTTTTTATATTTTTATTAGAGACGGGGTTTCACTATGTTGACCAGGCTGGTATTGAACTCCTGACCTCGTGATTCACTTGCCTTGCCCTCCCAAAGTGCTGGGATTACAGGCATGAGTCACCTTGCCTGGCCATTTTTTTTTTTTTTTTTTGGTAGAGATGGGGGTTTCACTATGTTGGCCAGGGTGGTCTCAAACTCCTGACCTCAAGTGATCCACCTGCCTCAGCCACCCAAAGTGCTAAGATTACAGGTGTGAGCCACCATGCCTGGCCACCTAATTTTTTAAAACATGAGATCACTCATTGTGAGACCTAGGTCTTGGCTGTGGTTCTGTTGCTCAATAGTGTTCAATTGGGCAAAATGGTGGGAGAGAGGGCGGAGACCCCAGCTAGGCTCTTCAGTGTCGGCCTCCGGCTATGACAGCTATAAAAGGTGCTGGCTCCGATGTCGTTAAAGCACCGCCTCCTTGTCTGTCTTGGTCTCTCCTTTTGCCCTGACGGTCTGTGTGGCATCATTAACACCATTTCTGGTCGGACTGACAATGTTCTGTGCTGCCCTTAAGCCATAAGTCACCACTTTGTAGCATCAGTAAATCAAACACAAAAGCAGAGGCTGCTCTGCTGGCTACCTCTGTCTCCCTGGCAAAATTGGAGTTCCTGGAACTTGGCTCATCCTCAGTGTGCAGTGGGATGGCTTGGCCCACCATCTAGGCCCTGGACCCTTCTCTGTCTGGCATTGTTTCTCTCTGTATGTCTAAGAAGATTCCTCGTGATTTTATTTATGGACCAACCAAGGGAAAATTCAGACCATCAATGTTCTATCCAAGCCGTACTTCATTCCTTCAGTACATGCTTTCCATGTATTCAAGAGCCCACTGTGTCCCAGGCACTGTTCTAAGTGCTGGGAATATGGCCATGAACAAGACACACAAACACACAACATCCCTGCCCTCGTGGGGCTGATAGCCTTGGAGGAAAGAAAGATGATAAGCAGATAAACAAGTAAATATAAAATAACGCCTGGCACGGTGGCTCACGCCTGTAATCCCAGCACTTTGGGAGGACCAGGAGGGTGGATCACAAGGTCAAGAGATCGAGACCATCCTGGTCAATATGGTGAAACCCTGTCTCTACTAAAAATACAAAAAATTAGCTGGGCATGGTGGCGCATGCCTGTAATCCCAGATACTCAGGAGGCTGAGGCAGGAGAATTGCCTGAACCCAGGAGGTGGAGGTTGCGGTGAGCCAAGACCGCACCATTGCACTCCAGCCTGGGTAACAAGAGCGAAACTCCATCTCAAAAAATATATATATATTTATATAAAATAACACCAGCAAAAAAATAAATAAATAAAAATAAAATAAAATAACACCAGCTGGTGATATATGCTACAAAGCATAACAGGGGATTTGAGAGCTACAGAATAATAGTAGATATTCTTTAGAGGAGAAGTCAGTGAATGCTCCCAAGAAATCATCAATACAACATAAAAATGACCAGAAGAGCTGGGCGTGGTGGCTCATGCCTATAACCCCAGCACTTTGGAAAGTCAAGGCAGGTGGATTGCCTGAGCTTGGGAGTTTGAGACAAGCCTGGACAACGTGGTGAAACCCTATCTCTACAAAACTACAAAAAATTAGCAGGGTGTGGTGGCACACACCTGTACTCTGAGCTACTTGGGAAGCTGAGAAACAAGAATCGCTTGAACCTGGAAGGTGGAGGTTGCAGTGAGCCAAGGTTGCAGCACTGCACTCCAGCATGGATGACAGCATGAGACTCTGTCTCCAAAAATAAATGAATAAATTAAAATTAAAATTAAAAATGGCCAGAAAGGCTGGGCGGGGTGGCTCATGCCTGTAATCCCAGCACTTTGGGAGGCAGATCACCTGAAGTCAGAAGTTCGAGACCAGCCTGGCCAACATGGGGAAAGCCCATCTCTGCTAAAAGTATAAAAATGAGCCAGACATGCTGGCAGATGCCTGTAATTTCAGCTACTCAGGAGGTTGAGGCAGGAGAATCACTTGAACCTGGGAGGAAGAGGCTGCACTGAGCCGAGATCATGCCACTGCACTCCAGCCTGGGCAACAAGAGTGAAACTTAGTCTTAAATAAATAAATAAATAAATAAATAAGGCCACTTGTAATCCCAACACTTTGGGAGGCCAAGGCAGGCATATCACGAGGTCAGGAGATTAAGACTATCCTGGCCAACATTGAAACCCCATCTTAAAATAAATTAAATTAAATTAAAAAATAAAATTAAAATGGCCAGAAGAAAGAATCCAAACATCTCAAATAAATTTGAATCTGTACAAACCACAGTGCTTCAAATAAAAAGAAAAACTAAAAAAAAAAAAAGGAAAGAAAAAATTTGAATTTGCAAAATTTGATTGGAGAAATTATACCTGGTGAAAATAATGGCTACAAAAAATACTCATAGTTAGAGGAAACTTAAACAATGAAACTTGCTGTGTACTCTCCCCCAGGCCCCCCCAAAAAAGTCAGTAAGTCACATGGGATTTTAAAATTTGTTAGATGCCAGGTGCAGTGGCTCACTGCTGTAATCCCAGCACTTTGGGAGGCCAAGACAGGTGGATCACGAGGTCAGGAGTTCAAGACCAGCTGGACCAACATGGTGAAACTCCATTTCTACTAAAAATACAAAAATTAGCCAGGCATAGTGACTCAAGCCTGTAGTCCCAGCTACTCAAGAGGCTGAGACAGGAGAATCACTTGAACCTGGGAAGTGGAGGCTGCAGTGAGCCAAGATCATGCCACTGTTCTCCAACCTGGGCGACAGAGCAAGACTCTGCCTCCAAAAAAAAAAAAATTGTCAGAAAAGAATTGATACTGGCTGGGCGCAGTGGCTCTCACACCTGTAACCCCAGCACTTTGGGAGACTGAGGCAGGTGGGTTGCTTAAGGTCAGGGGTTTGAGACCAGCCTGACCAACGAGGTGAAACCCCATCTCTACCAAAAATACAAAAAATTAGGCCAGGCTCAGTGGCTCATGCGTGTAATCCCAGCACCT